AGTGTATTTTAACTAGCTACCTTATTAAATTTTCTTGTAATTCCTTACAGTTTTTCATAAAAGTTTCTAAAACTTTGTAGCTGGTTATGGCATAAGCCAATCAGCATTTCTGATGGGCTCCCCCCTCCTCCTTTCTCCTTGCCACCTTGCATTGCCTAGGACTTCCGAACACCCTGGTCAGCAGTGAGGGTGCCCCTTGTTACAGGACTCCTTCCAGAGGTGTTTACGCACACTCATTTCTCTCTGGTGTTATAATTGAGGGGCAGAAGCTGATGCAGATGGATCCATGCATCCCTTTGGTTGTCCTGGGAACTGCATTCAGCCATGATACATGGGCTGTGCAATCAGGGCCCGCAGACAGCTCTCATCCGTGCAGGACCCCAGCCAGCATCTGCTGACAAGAACATGGCCAGTTGGTCTTTTCTAAGCAAAGCACTGCATACAGAGGAAGTGTGCTGAGGCTGGGCTGGCATCAGGTGTAGAAACTGCCAGCTGCATAGGCAGCAGCCTGACCAGGCCTGTCAGTCACAGAAGTCCCTGAATGCTGTTGCTGTTGGAGCACTTGTCTGCCTGAGTTTACTTCCTCCAGGGGCACAACAGGGGCCCCTGGGCAATGCAGGTACCCAGGCTCTGCCCTGGAGAGGTGGGGGAAAAGTTGGTATAAGCATTTTAAAAATGGGGAAAAGGGCTTTCCCCTCTATAACCAATGGTTTTCCCCGCTTTCTGAAGCAGAATTGCAGGGCAGTCCTGAGGGCAGCAGGTCAGCCTCCACAAAGAGCTGGGGATTGTGGGGTTTGGTGGGAGGGCTGAGAAGGGGAAGGGTGGCTTTCTCCTTGGCCTGTGTTTCCCCAGCTCTGAGCTGCGGACCCTTTCCCAGGGAGGGACCAGGAGGAATCTTTGATTCAGAACACTGAAACCTGGCACACCTGAGGAGAGTTAAATGAGACAGGAACAAAGGTGTCCCAGAGGCCTTACAGCTCTCAGGGACGGGAGGGGGATGCCACCACAAGCTTCCTCTTGCACTGAAGAGGGTGCCTTTTTCCTGTTCGCTAAATGCCAGACTTGCGGATAAACCAACAGTACAGCTCACCCAGCTTGAAGGGCTGTTCTATCTACATGCTTTATGTACAATGATTTCCTTAAATTCTCACAATAAAGCAACAAGAAGAGAGACTATTATTGTTCCCATCCTACAGAGGAGGGAATTGAGATACAGAGAAATTAAGTGACTCGCCGAAGGTCACACTGAGTCATGGTGCCAGAATTCTAACTGAAACATTTTGGGTCCAGTCTTCTGCCCTTTTTTAACTAAGCAAAAAAGGAAGCTGGGGAAGAACCGTACCCTGGCGATGCCAGCAGTCTCCACGGAGTTTCCCGGAAGCCTCCAGGAGGAAGGGTTGTCTGCCAGAGGTCTCCACTGTCGTTTCTTTTCCCCTCTGCAGCCTCAGTGCAGGCTGAACTCACAGCCTTGTTCGAGCGTCCCTGTGCATCTTCCGGCACCTCGTCCCGTCGGCTCTGTGGAGCGGCCTGTGTGGCCACACTGACTGGTGGGCAGGTGACAGACTGGCATGTGGCGCGTGGGCTTTGGCATGCTTGGGGGCTCTGTAGCAGTGCCAGCTGCTCCCACTGTGCGAAACTGCTGCTGGCAGGGCAAACAGGAGGGCCACCAGCAGCAGCGACCCTCATTGCAAGAACACAGCTGGCAGTCCTCCGGGAGAGGAGAGCTGGGGTGGGCCAGAGCCTCTGGAGGTTGTGGGGTCTTCCCATCCCCCACACCCAGCCTGAGCCGAACAGAGGGCAAGCTAAGAATCTGGATGTTTGGAGAGACATGAGGGACGGTCAGATGTCAGGAGGGCAGGGGGGTTAAACAAGGAGGGGTGCCAGGCATGGTGGCTCACGCCTGTAATCCCAGCACTTGGGAGGCCGAGGCTGGTGGATCACCTGAGGTCAGAAGTTCAAGACCAGCCTAGCCAACGTGGTGAAACCCCGTCTGTACTAAAAATATAAAAATTAGCCAGGTGTGGTGGCAGGTGCCTGTACTCCCAGCTACTTGGAAGGCTGAGGCAGAAGAATGGCTTGAACTTGGAAGGCGGAGGTTGCAGTGATCCAAGATGCCCATTTACCCCTCACTGCTGTCAAAGGCCAGGTACCACCCAGTCTTCGGTGGCCATTGACCTCCAGTGACATCCATGACCACCACCATTGCCCTCCAGCCTGGGGGACAAGAGCAAGACTTCATCTCAAAACAACAAGGGGGGTGCTTGGAGTGAAGGTGAACATGAGAGCAGAAAGACACTTAAGGCAGCTGGAAGTAAAAATGACAGACCACAGCCTCAGCCACTTAATGTTCACAGGTCACAAGGCAGCATCTGGCTAGTCACTCAGATCCTGTAGTACACAAACCACCAAAAACACACACACACATCTGCCCAGACAGATTCCAGATGGACAGATGCCCAGGGAAACACTCCCACCTGGACAGACAGACACAGATTATTGACAGATGGGAAGACACCCCGGTGAAACAGACCTGTGGCCAGAGAGACAGCTGGGCCCTCCCAGCCAGACAAAGGTCAGAATCCCTCAAGGACAGGCTCCTTCCCCCAAATGGAATGGACAAACAGATATTACTCCAGAGGTGAGAACACCCTGCCCACCCAGTCAACCACAACTTCAGCTGGAGAGACAGACCTCAGCCTATGAGAACAGGCCTTCAGCAGTATCCCTGCTGCTGGACAGATTCTGCCAGCCAGCTGGATAGATAAACCCTCAAGCTAGCTGGACAGATAGACCCCCCTCCCAGGTCAGATGGAAGGACTTTCTGCCCCCTAGTTGGACAGAAGACCCTCGGCTAGCCAGGCAGAGACCCTAGTCACTGGGTCAGCCTCCTTGTCCCCTACTTAGAACCATGGATGGTCCATTTACCCCTCACTGCTGCCAAAGGCCAGGTACCACCCAGTCTTCAGTGGCCATTGACATCCACGACCACCACCATCCCAGAGATACCTTTCAGACCCCTGAGTGCTCTAGTATCCAGTAGCCCATAATGACCATCCTTAACAACCATGAGTGCTCAGGGGCTCAGCCTTCATAACTTCCCCAGCAAAGTCCTTTTCTGAAAGCTCACTGAGGCTTCCGTATTCTACCTCCCTGGATCTCCGTGGCCACCCACGAAACCTCAGTGATACACTGAGAGTCACGATCATGAACTGAGCAGAAGCTCTTCATGACTTCCCTAACTCTTGACCCTTCAATTACACCACAAATCCCAATGGCCCAATTACTTTCACTTCTTGTCCATGTCCCAAGTATTCACTGGGCCTCCCAATGACTGACAGCCCCCATGAACATCCAAGGGACCCTGACTGACTTCTAATGAATTTCCTATCACTACCATCCTAAACGATCACTACTCACCTCCCTTAGAACGCTCAAAGATGTAACTTGATAAATGATGAACATGGATTTCACAGTGACCCGTTCTGACCCCACAATAAATGAAACCGTCCTAGCTACTGATCTCCAACTTTGATTTCTCCATCACTTAAGCCGAAGTCAGCAAACGACAGCCTGTAGGCCACACACACACACACACACACACACACACACACACTAGAATCAAAGTCATGACACATGAAAATTACATGAAATTCTCATTTCTTTGTACACAAATAAAGTTTTGTTAGGACACAGCGACACTGCTTTCATGCTGCCACAGCCGAGTTAAGCAGTTGGGGCAGAGATGGTACAGCCAAAATCACTTCCTACCTGGCCCTTTAAGAAAGTGTGCCCTTAACGCACGCCTGTAGTCCCAGCTACTCGGGAGGCTGAGGCAGGAGAATTGCTTGAACCCAGGAGTTGGAGGCTGCTGTGAGCCGAGATCGCGCCATTGCACTCCAGCCTAGGTAACAAGAGCGAAACTCCATCTCAAAAAAAAAAAAAAAAAAGAAAAAAAAAAAAGAAAAGAAAAAGGTGTGCCCTTAAATAATACTCTGATGACCCCTAGTGAATTAAACTGACCACCTGACATTATTCCCCTGTTGACCCTTCAGTGACTCAGGCACACATCCAGGCCCCAGTCCTACCTTTCTACCCCTCAACGACCTCAAACGGGTGTCCACTGGCGGCCCTTCCAGTGACACCCGTCTTAATTCTTCCAACCTCGGTGAGAAGGGGCCTAATCCAGGCCTGTCCTTGAAGGACCCCGGGTGCCGCTCCATTCTCTCCAGCCTCCCCTCGGTGACCCCCGAAGCTGGCACAGCAGTTCTCCTCTGACCTCTGCACAAATGGGAGTGCCAGGGCAGGCAAAAAAAGAGAAGCTATTGGTTCCCCAGAACCAACTCCCACTGCCTCAGTTCTGTTTCCCAGCAGGCTTATGCAGGTCGAGATGCTCACACAGGACTGACCCGGGTGCCCCGGCGCCGCCCAGCTCATACGGGAAAAGGAGCAACCACAAATTCCTCGGGAAGTACGCAGAGAAGATCCGGCTGCCACTTGGCCTTTCCCACGGCGCGGCTGCCTCAGCCCCGGCCTCCATTGGGCCGGGCTGGAGCGCAGAGCGCCGGACGCCCCAGACCCCGGGGTCCCCCAGCAGGAGGAATAGTCTGATCTCGGCGACCATCTCCACCCACGGCTGCCGCCTGCCTCAGCTCGGACCCCGCGCGGCGGGGCTCCCAGGAGACTGGCGGGGGGGCCCGGAAAGACCGCGAGGCCGTCCACCCAGAGCCCGCACCCGGACATTGGCCCCGGGCGCGGATCCTGGACTGGGGGCGGGTCCAAGCAGGAGGGAGTGTTCCTGGGACTGTGCGGCCCCACCTGTGGGCGCGGCAGCCACAAAAAAAAAAAAAAAGGAAGCGCCGGCGCTGGACTCTGCTCTGGCAGCGGGCGAGGACCGAGGGCTCCCGCAGCGGCCCGAGCGCCCGGGGCGGGGCTGCACGGGCTCAGAACACCCTAGCTGGGTCGCCCTCCCCGCCGCTGCGCGCTTCCATTGGCTGCGGAGGCCGGGGCGGAGGCTCAGCCGCCGGCCGCCGCCTCCCGCGGCGTCCACACTGGCTGTGGGCGCGGAACGCAGCGGCCGGGCTGAACCTTGCTGGCCCGCGGCGCCATGAGCCGCAGCCTGGACGCGGCGCAGAGCTTCCTGGAGCGTCTGGAAGCGCGCGGCGACCGGGAGGCGGCGGTCCTCGCCGGCGAGTTCAGCGTGAGTGGCGCGCGGGATCTGGGAGCGGCGCACCCCGGCCCTGGCCCCGCGGACGTCTGTCCTCTACGCCCTGCGGGCTCTGCCTCTCTGTCTCGGTGTCCCGGGTGTCTCCCCGCCTCGGGGAGTCTCTCCCTGTTTCTTCCCCCAGCACTTCTCTGTCGCTCTCGCTGTCTCCGTCTTCACTCTCTGCCCACCGGTCCCGGAGCGCAACGTCCATAGTCGGGTCGGGACAGACCGTGTGCACCCTTGCTCCCGGTGTCCTGGTCGCGCTCCCGGAACAACCCGGCTGCGGGTGGGACAGGCGGGGCGGGCTCCGCAGGGGAAGGCCGGTGGCCCCCGGTACTCTGGACACGCTGGACAGCCCCGGCCCCGCCGCTCTTGGCGACCTGACTGTCTCCTGTGACCGCAGGAAGGAAGGGGCCGCAGCAGGGCCAAGGGGAACCCGGAGGCCCTGGCGCAGTGAGGGTGTGAACGCCGGGCTCGAATCCGCGTCCGGGGCCATTCGGCTGTGGTCCGGGCGGTTTACCTGGCCCCTCCGACCTCGGCTTCTCCCTTGGTGAAATGGGAACGCGAATGACCAAACTGGCTTAAGGATTAAATGGGGTGGGTGAAAAGTGCTTAGCACGTATTGTGCGCGCACTTCATAGGGGCGTTTGTCACTGCCTATAAAGATTCTAAACGTGGGCCCGGCGCGGTGGCTCACGCCGGTAATCCCAGCACTTTGGGAGGCCGAGGCGGAAGAATCGCTTGAGCTCAGAAGTTCGAGACCAGCCTGGGCAACACAGCAAAACCCTGTCTCTACTAATAATAGAAAAATTAGCTGGGCGTGGTAGCGGATGCCTATAATCCCAGCTACCACGGAGGCAGAGGCAGAGGAATCGCTTGAGCCAGGGAGACGGAGGTTGCAGTGAGCTGAGCGGGGCCATTGTACTCCAGCCTGGGTGACAGAGCGAGACCCCATCTCAAACAAAAACTCTAAATGTTACAATACGGGCAGTGCAAGCCCAGCATCAGGAAGGCTCACGCCGCGTCCTAGGCACTGTACGCTACAGTCAATGACATGCTTAAAGTGTAATGGCTTATGTACCAGACATAGAAACATACCATACAAACGTGTAAACTGATATATGGTGACGCATATCAAATTTAGAAATAATATATGTTTTCTCATAGAACCAAAACAGGAAAAAATAAAAAGAAAAAATAATATATAAAAATATTGTAAATGACCATTTATACAATAAACATTGTATAACTGCATAAAATAATACAACAAATATAAAAAATAAAGATTATAATTTATAAAATGACCAAGGTTATTTGATAAATTCATAAGTAAATATAAAATGTATAACAGGTAATTACAAACAAGTAATTTGCACACATGCAGAAATATATCTAAGAAATGCATAATAAACGTAAGATATATAATTATACAATATTAAAATATAGACTGGGCACGATGGCTCACACCTGTAATCCCAGCACTTTGGGAGGCTGAGGTGGGCAGATCACAAGGCCAGGAGTTTGAGACCAGCCTGGCCAATATGGTGAGAACCTGTCTCTACTAAAAATACAAAAAAATTAGCTGGGCATGGTGGCTCATGCCTCTAATCCCAGCTACTAAGGAGGCTGAGGCAGGAGAATTGCTTGAACCTAGGAGGTGGAGGTTGCAGTGAGCTGAGACCATGCCGCTGCACTCTAGTCTAGGCAGGAGAGCGAGACTGTCTCAAAAAAAAAAAAAAAAGTATGTGACAAACGTAAAGATAATACCCATTTGATATATGACATCATGTGACTGGTTGGGTTCTGAACAGTGCACATCGCTGAGGGCCTCACATGCAGAAGGCTGGGTGGTGAGGGTACCCCTGCTTCCCGAGCCTGCCTCCCACATGTGCAGGAATTGGTGGGCTTTTCTAGGTGTACCCACTACACACGGGCATCATGAGGGCTTAAATGACCCAATGGACATGAGTAAAGCACTTAGAATGGTGGCTGGCACACAGTGGTGGCATAGTAGGTGTCACTTATTATCATTGAGATTATGAATACCTGACGGTGAGGGTAATACACTATTCACGATTATTATTATAATCTCCCAGTAACACAATACTCATAGTATCCTGTACTGTACAAGATACTAACACAAGATGTAACACAGTACATATAGTATATGTTATCCATTATAATACCAATGCATTGTACATTGTCTTATATGTTTAGTTATATAACACATATTTCATCACAGTTATTGCTTACAGGACAATGTCACAGAGTGTGCAAGGGGTGGGTGCCGAGAGGTCTGAGTTCCACCCTCACCATGAGACTTCTTAGTTGGGACCTTCCACAAGTCACTCAACCACGTAGTGCAGAAACCTTCCCGCCTGCACAATGGGGAAGTCAGTACCCATGTCGTGGGAACCTGTGATTACATGCCCTTAGCGCAGAGACTGGCACAGAGAAGGTGCTCTGGGTCGCTATTACTGTATCATTTTTATTAGGCAGGCCGGGTGCCTTCGGGGTCTGCACTCACCTCCCCAGGCCACTGGCCTTGTATCCTGTGCGCGCCTAGGTGGCCCGGGACTCTGACCTGGCTCCTCTCCTGTCTTTTCCCCTCCCTGGCGCACTCATGATGCTCCACCAGGACATTCAGGCCCGCTCGGCCGCCTGGAAGGCTGACGGCGTGTGCTCCACCGAGGCCGGCAGTCAGCCGGGGAACGTCAGGAAGAACCGCTACAAAGATGTGCTGCCTTGTAAGTGGGGTCTTCTGCGGGGAGTGGGTACAGCGGCGCAGGCACCGCCGCAGTCCAGGCGTCAGTGTGCACTGGAGTTACCCGCTGCGCTCCCCTCCCAAACCTTCACCCTCTGCGCTGCTCAGCAGCCCACGAGGGCACCTCGGTGGGGTCTCTGCAGGTGTGTGGTCCCTGCTGGTTTTCGGCCAGGGGGCTGTCGGAGGCTTGGCCACCCTATCCTCCCCAAACTCCACGTTTCTTACCTTATCTGCTGACAGATGATCAGACGCGAGTGATCCTCTCCCTGCTCCAGAAAGAGGGACACAGTGACTACATTAATGGCAACTTCATCAGGGTGAGGGTTGGGATCTTGGAAGGAGGTGGAAGAGGTGGATTGGGGGTGGCCACGGGTGGGCAGCAGAATCTTAGTAGTGAATGCGGCCTTCACCAGGGCGCGGATGGAAGCCGGGCCTACATCGCCACACAAGGACCCTTGCCTCACACCCTGCTAGATTTCTGGCGACTGATCTGGGAGTTTGGGGTCAAGGTCAGCACTTGGGGGCAGGGCAGGACGGTGGGGTCAACCTCTAAGTACCCCCTCGGTGGTTTCCCTGGCCCCCTAACCCAATCGCCTTCCTCTCCCCTGGTCTCCTTGTCTAGGTCATCCTGATGGCCTGTCGAGAGATAGAGAACGGTCGGGTAGGTATCCTCTCCCCGCAAGTTGCATGTCCTTGTGCAAGGAGGAGGGAGGAGGGATCTTTCTAGCTCCTCCTTGACCCCAGGACTGGAGGGTCCAGCTCTTAGAGTGACCTTACTGTGGGGATTTAGGAAGCCCCATTGTTTCTCTAAATTTCTGTTGATCTTTTTCCTTTTATTCATCCCCCCAATGTTGGCACCCCCTCTCCTGCTGGGCTTCCCACCCATTTCACACCTTAGACCATAAGGCCCTATTCTGACTGCGTCCCCTGAGGTTCTGATCTCTCCTCCCACTTCTCTCTCCTTTATTCTCTCCCCTAACGACTTTGGCCTCTGCTGTTCCCCAGATGTTCCAGGAATGGCTGTGCCTCAGGCCCTGTGCCTTTCCGGTGGCTTGCTCTATCGCCTCCTTCACATCTTTGCTCAAATGTTAATTCCTCAATAAGACCTTCCTGGGGTGGGTCTTTAAACCATTTTAAACTCTCAGCACTTCCACTCTCCCTCCCTTGTCCTGCCTTTCCTTTTTTCTTCACAGTTTATATGAACTCCTAACACGCTGGATAATCTACAAATGTATTATGTACATTGTTTGTTCTTAATCTCCCTGATTCAGAAGGTAAGATCCACGAGGCCAGGGATCTTTGTTTTGCCCATTCGCATAAATTAGTTACTAAGTAAATAAATGCATGCCAGCATTGAAGGCTGACGCACATACCCTCCTGTGGTCTCTGCATCCCTGCCTGCTCCATGGATGGGGTGGGGGTTCCCTGGGGTGACTAGCTGATCGTGGAGGCTGTATGATCTGTAGTCATGTCCCTTTCTCATTCCTGATTTTGGTAAGTTGTGTTCTCTCTCTTTCTGTCTCTGCCTCATCTCTCTATCGCTCTGTCTCCGTCTCCATGCTCCTGCTTGTTTTTTATAAACAGTGTATTAGAACACAGCATACTCATTTATTTACATGGTGTCTTTGCCTGCTTTTATGCTACAGTGGCAGAGTTGAGTAGTTGCAAGTTGAATAAATTATGTGGCCTGTAAATTCTAAAATATTTATCTGACCCTTTATAGAAAATGTCAGCCAATCCTTGGACTAGAGGTTTATCATTATATTATTTTTTCAAAGAACCTGCTTTGGGTTGTATTCGTTTTCTCTATTGATATTTTCATTTTCCACTTTTTTTTTTTTTGAGACGGAGTCTTGCCCTGTTGCCCAGACTGGAGTGCAGTGGTGCGATCTTGGCTCACTGCAACCTCCGCCTCCCAAGTTCAGGCGATTCTCCTGCCTCAGCCTCCTGAGTAGCTAGGAGTACAGGCACCTGCCACCATGCCTGGCTAATATACTACTTTAATTTCAAGTGTACTTGAAAAGAATGTGTATTCTGCTTTAGTTGGCTGGAGTGTTCTGTAAATACCAGTTAGATCAAATTGATAGTCTTTTTTAAAAGACACTTTTATATCTTTACTGATTTATTTTCTCTAAATGTATGAATTACTGAGAGAAGAGTGTGGAAATTGCCAACTGTTCATAAATATCAATTAGGTCATGTTTGTCAACAGTGTTACTCAAGTCTTATTTCTGACAGTATTTTTTGTCTGCTTGCCCTATTATTTGCTGAAAGAGGAAGGTTGAAATCTGCACCTCTAATTGTAGCTTTAGCTATTCTTTCAGTTTTATTTTCATGTCTTAAAACTTTGCGATTGAGTACATATACATTTAAGGTTGTATCTTCCTAATGATTCAATCTCTTTTCTGATATGTCATGACTCTCTTTCTGTTAATATTTTTTTTCTGAAGTGTACTTTGATTTTAATATAGCCATTTAAATTTTTTTTTTTTTTTTTTTGAGATGGAGTTTCACTCTTGTCGCCCAGGCTGGAGTACAATGGCACGATATTGGCTCACTGCAACCTCCACCTCCCGGGTTCAATTGATTCTCCTGCCTCAGCCTCCCAAGTAGCTGGGATTACAGGTGCCCGCCACCAGGCCCAGCTAATTTTTGCATTTTTAGTAGAGAAGGGGTTTCATCATGTTGGCCAGGCTGGTCTCGAACTCCTGACCTTAGGTGATCCGCCCACCTCGGCCTCCCAAAGTGCTGGGATTACAGGCGTGAGCCACCACACCCAGCCTTAAATTTCTTGAGTTTGTGTACGTCTTTTCCCATTCTTTTACTTTATATCTATGTTCTTATTTTTTTTTTTTTTTATTTATTGAGACAGAGTCTCACTCTGTCACCAGGCTGTTGCACAGTGCTGCAATCTCAGCTCACTGCAACCTCTGCCTCCCAGGTTCAAGCGATTCTCCTGCCTCAGCCTCCCAAATAGCTGGGACTATAGGTGCCCACCACCATGGCCAGCTAATTTTTGTATTTTTAATAGAGATCGGTTTTTACCACATTGTCCAGGATGGTCTTGATTTCTTGACCTTATGATCCTCCCACCTCAGCCTCCCAAAGTGCTGGGATTACAGGTGTGAGCTACCGTGCCCGGCCCCATCTTTATTTTTTAGTGTGTTTCTTGTAGGTAGTGTATTGTAGGGACTTACTTTTTTTTTTTTTTTTTTTTAAGAGCGAGGGAGTACAGTGTTGCAATCATAGCTCACTGTAACCTCAAACTCCTGGGCTCAAGTGATCATCCTAGCTCAGCCTCCCTAAGGAGTTGGGAATACAGGCATATACCACACCTGATTGTTTTTATTTCTTATAGAGATGAGGTCTCACTGTATAATCCAGGCTGATTTCGAACTCCTGGCCTCAAGCTATGCTTCTACCTCAGCCTCCCAAAGTGCCAAGATTAGAGACATGAACCACTGCATCTAGCCAGGATTTACTTTTTAAATCTAATCTGACAGTCTCTGCCATTAATTGGAATATTTAGCCTTTAATGTAATTTTCAATAATGTTGGGTTTAAACCTACCATCTTGCTGTTTGTTTTCTATTTTCTCTGTTTGTTCTTTTCTTTTTTTTTCTGTCTTCTTTCAGAGTGAGAATTTTTTATGAATCTATTGCATAGTAATTATTCTCTTACTAGCTATACCTCTTTATTTTAAATATTTAGTGATGACTTTAGGTTTTACACTATATATATCTTTAACTTATAGTCTACAGTAAAATAATATTACACATTTCATGTAAAATGTCAGATCTTTCATAGTGTTTCCATTTCCCCTTTCCATGCTTTGTGCTATGGTTACTACATATTTTAATTTTAAATATAAAACATACTCCACAATACACTGCTATTATTTTTTATTTAGAATGTCTTTTTTAAACAGCTTTATTGATATACAATTAGTCTTTTAAAGTGTACAATTCCATCACTTTTCATATAGTCCTGAGTTGTGCAACTATTACCACAATAAGTTTTTGAACATTTTCATCACTCCATAAAGAAATCCTGTATCCATTAGCAGTCATCCCCATTTCCCCAACCCTCTACAGCCTGAGACAATCCCCAACCTACCATTTGTCTTTATAGATTTGCTCACTCTGGATATTTCATATAAATGGAATCATATAATATGTAGCCTTTTTTTGCTAAGCATGTTTTTTTTTTCCTGAATAATAGTCCATTGAATGGCTCTACCACATTTTACTTAGCAGTTGATAGAATTTAAGTTCTTTCTACTTTCTAGCAATTATGAACAATGCTGCTATCAACATTGATATACAAGGATCTCTGTAGACGTATGTTTTCATATCTCTTGATATGAATTGCTGGGCCATATGGAAACTCTGTTTTTAACATTTTGAGGAACTGCCAAACTGTTTGCCACAGTGGCAGCACCTTTTGACATTTCCACGGCGATGTATGAGGGTCCCCATTTCTTCTCACTGATGCCTGTTACTGTCTTTTTTTTATTAGTAGTATAGCCATCCTTGAGGATGTGAAGTGGTATACCTGTGTCTTTTTTAACTGGTGTGGTAAAGTACACATAAACATACGTAAATGGTGTGGTAAAATATTCATAAGTGTTTGAATCCCTGTTTTCAGTACCTTGGGTATACCCCTTGAGTGGAATCGCTGGATTATTTGGTAACTCTGTTTTCCACAGTGGCTGTACCATTTTACATTTCCATCAGAGAGAGAGAGAGAGAGGGAGGGACATGTGTAGTTTAATGGCAGGCATATGTTCTGCTTTGTTAGACTATTTTGTCATGGGTAAACATCATAGAGTATACTTAAACATAGATGGTATATACATTTTTTATTTATATATATTTCTCGTATGGAAAAGTAAATGTCTCAGCACCATTACCGAGTATAAATAATTTCCCCGACTTAATATACAATGTCGATATCAAGTGCCATGTATCAGGTTTCTTCTACATATGCTCCATTATAAACTATGGCACTACCGTCATATATGTGGTCTGTTGTTGATTAAAACATCATTATATGGCATATGACAAGCATATGTATGCCATCCTAATGAATGGGAAGTGGTATCTCATTGTGGTTTTGGTTTTCTTTTTCTTTTGTTTTTTTTTTTTTGAGATGGAGTCTTGCTCTGTCGCCAGCCTGGAGTGCAGTGGCATGATCTCGGCTCACTGCAATCTCTGTCTCCCAGGTTCAAGGAATTCCCCTGACTCAGCCTCCCAGGTAGCTGGGATTACAGGCACGCACCACCATGCCCAGCTAATTTTTTGTATTTTAGTAGAGATGGGGTTTCACCATGGCCAGGATGGTCTCCATCTCCTGACCTCGTGATCCTCCTGCCTCAGCCTCCCAAAGTGCTGGGATTACAGGCGTGATGGTTTTGGTTTTCTTGTGCTTATTTGTCCATTTGTATCTTCTCTGGACAAATGTCTAGTCAGGTCATTTATTCATTTTAAAATTGGGTTATTTGAGGTTCTTTGTCTTTTTACTATTGAGTTGTAAGAGTTATTCTGGATACAAGTCCCTTATCAGTACATGATTATATTACAGTAAATCATGTACTGATAAGGGACTTGTATCCAGAATAACTTTTACAATGGAAATGTCTTTCCCATTCTGTGGGTTGTCATTTTACTTTCTTGATGGTTGTTTTGAAGCACAAACATTTTGTTAAATTTTAATTCCAATCTACTGTGTTGCTGTGTTTTTGCTATATCTAACAAGTCGTCATCTAATCAGAGGTCGTAAAGACTTACTCCTGTTTTATCTTCTAAGTGTTTGTAGTTTTCTTGCTTACATTTAGGTCTCTGATTTACTTTGAGTTAAATTTTGTGTGATATGAGATAGGGGTCCACATCACTCTTTTGCATGTGGCTATCCAATTTTTCCAGCACCATTTGTTGCAAAGACTGTGCTTTGCCAATTGAATGGTCTTGGCCCCTTTGTTGAAAATTAATTGGCCATAAATATAAGAGTTTATTTCTGAACTCTTAGTTTTATTAAGGTGATTGATATGTTTATCCTTGTGCCAGTATAACATAGTTTTGATTATTATACCTTTGTAGAAGTTCTGAAATCCGAAGTATGAGTCTTCCAAATTTGTTCTTTTTTCAAGATAGTGTTGGCTTTTTGGGTGGGTCCCTTGCTGTGCAGAAAACAGTTAGACATAGCAAGCATAACTGTTTATGCTTAGGAAGGCCCTCCTGTAAGGCTGACTCTTGGGTGGCCTCTAGAAACCTAGGTTTCTGATCAGGGTGGCTTACTATGCCTAAACTGTTAATACAAACAACATGGGTTTATACAGAACACCTGCTCTCCAGCTGGGAATCTGACATTTTGGTACAGGCTAGGCAGATGTGCCTACATGCAGAAGGTGCCTGATGAAAATCCTGGGCACTGAGTTTCTAATGAACTTTTTATTGTGAGAGTCTGTTGGTTTTGTCAAGTTTTGTTCCTTGCATCTATTCAGATGACCACCTGTTTTGCTTTGTATTCTACTAATATGGTGTATGACACTGACTTTCATATGGTGACCCGATCCTGCATTCCTGGGGTTAATCCCACTTAGTCATGGTGTATAATACTTTGCTAGTATTTTGTTCAGAATTTTTGTGTCTATGTTTGTGAGCTTATTGATTAGTAGTTTTCTCTTTCCTTGTGATGTCTTTGGTTTCGGTGGCAGGATAATACTTGCCTCATACAATATGTTGGGAAATGGTTCCTCTTCAGTGTTTTGTAAGAGTTTGTGAAAAGTTGGTATTAACTCCTTCTTGTTTGATAAAATTCACTAGACTATCTTTTAAAGATATTTAAAATGAGAGAAATACCTTTTACATTTAGTCTCTTTTCTCCTTATTCTATTATTTTGTGTAGACCTGTATTTCCATTTGTATCATGCTCCTTTTGTATGCAGAGCTTACTTATTCTATTTATTTAAGAGATAGGATCTCACTCTGTCACACAGGCTGGAGTGCAGAGTACAGTCATCACTCACTGCAGCATCAAACTCCTGGGTTTAAGCAATCCTCCTATCTCAGCCTCCCAAATAGTTGGGAGTACAGTGTGCCACCACACTCAGCTAATTTATTTATTTATTTATTTATTTATTTATTTTTTGGAAGATGTGGTTTCACCGTGTTGGTCAGGCTGGTCTTGAACTCCCGACCTCGGATGATCCGCCTGCCTTGGCCTTCAAAGTGCTTGGATTGCAGGCATGAGTCACCACGCCCGGCCTGCACTCAGCTAATTTTTTTTAAAAAATTATTTTTTAGATAAGGCTAGCTCTATTGCCAACACACCTAGCTAATTTTAAAACTTTTTTTTTTTTAGATACAGGCTAGCTATGTTGCTCAAGTTGGTGTTGAAGTGGCCTTAAGCAATCCTTCTGCCGTAGCCTCTCAAATAGCTGGGATTACAGGCAGCAGCCACTGACTGTAAGCACCTGAACAGTTTACTCTAATATTTCTCATAGTTGCAGATTTGTTTATGATGAATTGCCTCAGCTTTCATTTGTCTGAAAAGGCTTTCAGCAGTTTTAGGATATAATACCATTGACTGGCAGTTTCTGACAAAATTTTGCTATAATTCTTAACTTTGTTCCTCAGCATGTGATGTGCCTTTTTGTGTGTGATGCTTTGATGATTTTCTCTTCTGGGGCTGGGCACAGTGGCTCACGCCTGTAATTCCAGCACTTTGGGAGGCTGAGGCCATGGATCAGTTATGGTCAGGAGTTCGAGATCAGCCTGGCCAACCTGGTGAAATGCTGGCTCTACTAAAAATACAAAAATTAGCCAGGCATTGTGGCGCGTGTCTGTAATCTCAGGTACTCAGGAAGCTGTCTCAGAAAAAATTTTTTTTTCTCTTTCTCTTCTTTTTATTTTTCAGTCATTTGACCATGATCTGCCTTGGTGTGACTTTCTTTAGGTCTGTTCTCCCTATGGTTCATTGACTTTCTTGGATTTGTGGATTCATAGTTTCATCAAATTTGGGAATTTTTTCACCTATTATTTGTTCACATATACTCACTGTTATCCACATTTCTCCTTTCCTTCTGGACTGCAGATGCACGTACACTAGACCGTTTGGTATATTTCTACAGAGAACTGATTATCTTCAGTTTTTTCATTTCATTGTGAATTGTTTCTATTATTATGTTTTCCTGTTTATTGATCTTTTCTTCTAGTGTCTACTCTGCTACTAGTGGATTTTTCATTTCACACTTTTTTCCTTTTTAGAAATCCTATTTAGGTATTTTTTGTGTCTTTCATTCCACTCTTCATCATGTTCATGTTTCCTTTTCATCTTTGAGTATATGTATAATAAGTAGCTACTTTAAGGCTTTTGCTCTTTTTTTCTGAACTCTGTTATTTCTGGGCCCTTTTCTATTGACTAATTTTTCTCCTGATTATGGGTCACAATTTCCTGTTTCTTTGTATGTCTAGTACAATTTTATTGGATGCTTGATATTTTGAATTTTGCACAGGTAAGTGTTGGAATCTGTTTTCTTTAGAGTGTTTTGCCTTTTCAGAAACTTTTGGATGGTTGATCAAGTAGCCTTTGTTGTAGAATTAATTTGTCCATGCTTCTAATGTGTGGTCATACCAGGTTCCCTAATAAATGCCCCATATAGTTGATAAGGCCTCTACACTCTAGCTAGAGAGGATGTGAATTCTTTCTCATTGTGAGCTTCAAGGAAATGTTCATCCTACAGATCCCTAATATTTTTTCATGGGAAGTTATTCTTGCCGGGCTTCATGAGGTTTCATGCTATATATATTCAGATCACTATTCAACCAAAAAATCGAAGAGGGGACTAATATGTGGGGTTTTTGTTTTGTTTTTGTTTTTATTTGCATAGCTGTGTTCCTTCCAGGACTCTGCCCTGCAAATTCGACCTGCCTTGGCCTCCTTGAGCCATGATCTCTGGCTCGGCTCAGTGGGATCATTAGACTCATGTCTTACCTAGTGACACTTCCACGAAATAAGCCGGAGTGGTCTGTTTGGTGACTACAGTACTGCAATGCCTGCCATCCAGTCTCTGAAAATACCGGCTCATGTATTTTGTCGAGTTTCTGGTAGCTTACAGTGCAAGGGTATCCTGGACCGTCTTTCCTCTGCATGGTCCGCAGCGCACCTCCATTGAGTCTGCAAGTGTTTCATCTGCCGGCTCTGTTGGCTGATCTCCATTATACGCTGCCTGCGCTTCCACTGGCAGCACTTGGGGTGTCCTGTGGCAGGACTAAGCTAGCTCTGAAGCTGACTCCCTCTCCTCACTCCCTGCCTTTTCTCCCTTACCTTTTGCAGAAAAGGTGTGAGCGGTACTGGGCCCAAGAGCAGGAGCCACTGCAGACTGGGCTTTTCTGCATCACTCTGGTGAGCTGTGGGAGGTTTTAAGGAAGATTCCCAGGATGGAAAACCTTTGGGTTGGGCCTGAAAGGATGAATAATTTCTCCCACAGTCCATTCACACTGTAGGAAACTTCTTGGTGTTAGCCTGCAAATAGTTCGATATATGCATAGCCTTTGCATTTTTCTTTGATTTCCTGACGCTGCAATCAGTTATCTCTGTCATGTAAATGTGCCTGATTAGGTTCTTGAAATAATTCTCTTATCATTTCCAAAGAGCTTGGGGAAATCTCTCAAGTCATACATATAGTTAGTACTTAATACAATAAAAGTTTCATTTTAGAACAAAAGAAATCTCTTTTCACCGCAAAAGGGCTTGTGTTTTTATCATAGATCCTCTTTTTCTCCTGTGTCAAATGTTTCCTTAATGAAAGCTTTGGGGAAAGTTTGCGCTACATGAATTTTTTAAAATGTTTTCTGTATTTGATTTTTTAATCAGGAATGCTGTGCTTTGGATAAATGAGTTTTGGTACCTGTGATCTTTTTCTCCTCCCTTTTCTTACTTGCCCCTCCTCTTACTTAGCTTAAGGAGAAGCAACTGAATGAGGACATCGTGCTCAGGACCCTCAAGGTCACACTCCAGAAGGTACTGACCGGGGAGGAGGAGGTAAAGGGGCTCCTGCAAGGGGAGAGGTTTTCTCCCCTGTAAAAATAGGCATCATACTAGTACCCACCTCCTCAGTTATTATCTGGTAGATATAAACGGAAGATGCCTAGAGTGGGCCTGGTGTATAGTTGATGCTCAATTAATGGTGTTTTATTTTTTTCCTAAGTCTTTTGCTAGTCTTTTTCTGTGTTTCAGGAGTCCCGCTCCGTGTACCAGCTGCAGTATATGTCCTGGCCAGACCGCGGGGTCCCCAGCAGTCCTGACCACATGCTCGCCATGGTGGAGGAAGCCCGTCGCCTCCAGGGATCTGGCTCTGAACCCCTCTGTGTCCACTGCAGGTTTTGGAAATGAGCTTCATGAGGGTCTGGTGAGGGAGGGGACAGGGCAGGGAGGGGAGCGCAGGGCCTGGGGCTGGTCTTGCAGTCTGAGTGCCTATTTTGAGAGACCCTGCTCACCGGCATAGACTATAATTGTGAGCACTTGTTCGGCACAGACTGGGCTGGGGAGTAAGCACACAGCTGCTGCCCAACCAAATGTAAGTGATTCAAAAGGTTTCCCTTGTTCAAATACAATCTGGAGATTCTGGGAATCAAGAGGTTCAGCAGGGCCCTCACCCCATCCCCAAACATGCTCAGGCCGACTAGGCACGCTCCGATTCCCTTGTCAGCGCGGGCTGCGGGCGAACAGGCGTCCTGTGCACCGTGGATTATGTGAGGCAGATGCTCCTGACCCAGGTACGACGTGGGCATCCTGTGTGTGCAGTGTGCCACCCATGACCACGTGTCCTGCTCAAGTGCCTTGTGTGTCTGTCCCAGATGATCCCACCTGACTTCAGCCTCTTCGACGTGGTCCTTGAGATTCGGAAGCAGCGGCCTGCAGCCGTGCAGACCGAGGTGAGCCCTGGGTCTCCTAATCTTCAAGGACAGCGGCCCACTGCTGTCATTCCGCCCCTGCCTTCCCTTCCTGATGGCCTCTCATCCCAACAGGAGCAGTACAGGTTCCTGCACCACACGGTGGCTCAGATGTTCCGCTCCACACTCCAGAATGCCAGCCCCCTCTACCAGAACCTCAAAGAGGTACAGAGACCCCTTTCCCACTCTCCTGTCCACCATCAGCGCCCTCAGAGACCGGGACCCTGAGCAAGGTCCAGCACCCAGGACTCCTAGGAGCAGTCACGACTATGACATCCACGTGTGCCCTCCTCCGGGCACCCTTATCGGGCAGTCCCCTCTTAATCTTTCTCCCAGAACCCTGCGAGAGGCCTGGCCAGTTTCCTCCCTCAGGAGCCTCCCTCCTGTTTTCCCCCAGAATTGTGCCCCAGTGTACGACGATGCCCTCTTCCTCCGGACGCCCCCAGCGCTTCTCGCCATACCCCGCCCACCAGGAGGGGTCCTCAGGTACCCGGCTCTATCCCCGCATTCTTCCCTGCCCAATTTCTCAGGCTAACCCCTTCCTCATCCTTGGAACACCAGTCCGTTCCCTGTTCACTTCGCCAAGTGTTCGCTGGCCCTTTCTTCGAATTCAGCTCTGGGAACGCCCTCCAGGCTGATTCATTTATCCCAGTGGTCCCCTTGTCTCTGCCTCTAAGGCTGGCCCTGCCTTCTGAGGTTAGGCCTTTCCTGGATCCTCCAATCAAAACGTAATTCAGGTGGCTCACGCCTGTAATCCCAGCACTTCTGGAGGCCACGGAGGGCGGATCCCTTGAGGCCAGTTGGAGATCAGCGTGGTTAACATGGTGAAACCCTATCTCTACTAAAAATACAAAAATTAGCCAAACGTGGTGGCGGGAGCCTGTTAGTCCCGGCTGCTCGGGAGGCTGAGGCAGGAGAGCCGCTTGAGCCCGGGAGGTGGAAGGTTGCAGTGAACCAAGATCGCACCACCGCACTCCAGCCGGGGCGACAGAGCGAGACCGTGTCTCAAAAAACAATTCAGCACATATTTCTAGATGCTCCCCACTTGTCAGGCCCCACGTTGGGTGCTGCGGGCATGGGACTAAGCTGCCTTCACAGCGACTTCAGGCCTGCGTCTTGCGGCCATCCCTTCCGGGGTCTGTGCCGCTTCCGCATTCTTTTATACAACAGACACAGACACAGACACAGAAGTGCCCACCCCCCACATCAGCACCCTGCCCCATTTACCGCCAGGCCGCCCCCGTTCCTCCTTCCTCCGCCTAACCTGCGGGGCGCTAGGGGCACAGGAGCGAGGCCCCGCCAGGGCACCCTCCCTCCGTCCGCGCCGCCCCAGCGGGGAGGAAGCCCGCGGTTTGCGCGCCAGCAGTCTCCGCACTCCCGCCCTGCGCAGCGCCGCCGTTTCACTTCCTCCCGGGCCTCCCTGCCTGCAGGAGCATCTCGGTGCCCGGATCCCCGGGCCACGCCATGGCTGACACCTACGCGGTGGTGCAGAAGCGCGGGGCTGCAGCGGGCGCCGGGACAGGGCCGGGACCGCGCAGCGCGGAGGACGCGCCGCTCTACAGCCAGGTGACGCCGCACGCCCAGCGGTCCGGGGCGCACGCGGAGGACGCGCGGGGGACGCTGCCTGGCAGCGGTGAGTCGAGGTCGGCGCGGGGTGGGGGGCGCCGGCGCCCACTTGTTCCTTCTCTGGGCACCCTCCTGCTGTGGTCCACAGGGCCCTGGCCGGTGCCGGGACCCCCGCCGCTAGCCCGGCCACGCCCCAATGCTGGCGCCCTGGCTCCCTGGCCACGCCCCGGAACCCCCAGGCGGTCGCAGCCTGGGTGCTGGGTTCTGGGAGATACGAGCTGGCGGATCTCGGCCGCGCCCCAAAGGCTCGAGGCCACGCTCGGGGGGAAGCGGCCCCGCCCGGGGTGGGGTCTTGGGATTCCCTGGGGCTTCCAGAGCTGACCCGTGGGGGTCTCCTGCCCTCAGTTTCTGCAGACCAAGGCCCTGCCGGATCTGGCGCCTACGAGGACGTGGCTGGTGGAGCTCAGACCGGTGGGCTGGGTAAGTCAGGTAGAGCCTGGGTTGCTGGGACTTTGCTGCTTTGAGTGAACCCCAGGAGTTTGGGGCTAAGGGATGGGGGCCTGGAGCTCAGTCCTGTGGATGTGGCTGCAGTGAACCGTGAGGACCTGAAGGTGGGGGATTGGCCTTCTTCATGTTTGCCTCCGCACACCTCAGCTTCTCCATGAGACCCACAGCACCCTTCCTCTCCCAGGCTTCAACCTGCGCATTGGGAAGCCGAAGGGGCCCCGGGACCCGCCTGCTGAGTGGACCCGGGTGTGAGTCTGCGCCAGCTCCTGCCTTTTGCCTCGTGTGAGCTTGGACTACTGATGCCCCAGCGCTGCCGAGTGCCGTGTGCCGAATGGAAACAGTGGGCCTGGATCAAAATAAAAGTTTTTCAGGGTGGGAAATGTGCGGGCTTTGCCCCAGTGACTGTAGCATTCAAGGCTTGAGGCTGGAGGAGGTAGGTAGGTTATAATGGCTAGTGAGAGCAGATTCAAGAAAGAACATCGGGAAGGGGCATGGCCCCTGAGTTGTGAGGGGGAGAATGGACAGATGGGCTTCCAGAGACTGCTGCCCGCACCACATGACGCACTAGTCCATCATCAGCACCTGAGCCTCCCTCACTTGGACACTCAGGTGACCACACAGAGAAATGGATGGACCCCTAGCCATCCAGGCATATCCAAGCCAGGCATAAGCACAGCCAAGCAGACTAATCCCAGGCAGACCGATAAAAAGACCTCCAGATAGCCGAGTGCCGTGGCTCATGCCTGTAATCCGAGCACTTTGGGAGGCCGTGGTGGGTGAATCACCTGAGGTCAGGAGTTCAAGACCAGCCTGGCCATCATGGTGAAACACCATCTTAAAAAAAAAAAAAAATACCTCCAGATAGGCAGACAGACAGATGGACCACCAACCTGGACACATAGCCAAACCTTCAGAGATACAGTCCACAGGTGGACAGAGGACCCCAGCCAGAGAGACAGACCAGCCAACAGCTTGACAAAATAGTCCAGCCAGACAGACCACCAAACAGAGCCTCCAAAACACAGACATCTCTGCCAGCTGGATGGCCAGGTGGACCCCTAAATTAGACAGATTACTAGACAAATAAACATCCCCAGCTGAACAGACACACAGACTTCTCAGACCCCAACCCCACCCCCAGGTGGGCTGGCTGATTGACAAACCTTCTGGCCAGACAGACTCCTGACTAGGCAGATGGACTGCCAGACAGACAGACATCAGTCACACAGAATCCTGACATCCCAGCCGGCCGGCTAGACTCCCATCTTGATGGATGGACCCCAGTTGGTCGGACATGATTCTTCAGATTGACAGAGAAGTCCCCCAAATAAGTACACATCTCTAGCTATTCAGACAGATGGACCCCCAGCAAATCTATCTAGACAGACCCCAGCCGGAAAGACCCCCAACCAGACTGACCCCTTGCTGTTTACACAGCCTCCCAAGTAGCTGGAACTACAGATCTAATTTTTTTTTTTTTTTAGAGATGGTTTTTTACCATGTTGCCCAGGCTGGTCTTGAACCCCTGAGCTCAAGCAGTCCTCCTGCCTCAGCCTCCTAAAGTGCTGAGATTACAGGTGTGAGTCACCAGGCCTAGCCCCGTAAGATTCTAAATACTTTAAATGGTCCATGGTAGGGTTCCTGCTAGGATGAAACATATGCAGTTGTTTAAAAGAAAAAAAAGGAAGGAGGACGCACCTCTGTGGACAAATCTCCAAGTCACTGCAAAATGGAAAACGTTTAAGATGCTCTTTCCAGGAACCTGGAGGGACCAGCGCCTCACCTTCAGGCCTCTAGACCTCTGACTGACACTGTTTGTGCCTGCCCAGGTCCCTGTCTGCACCGCTGCAGTGCCCTGGGCCCCATGTCCACCCCTGTCCTGCCCTTCTTCTCTGGGTAAGGACTGGCCTGCCTCTACCTGGCTGCATCCTTGGTCTATCTCAAGTGCCTTGGCATGAACTCCACTCTCCTGAGCCTTCAGTCAGGGGATGATGGGGGATGTGTACATGCCCCACCCCACCCCTCAGCAGGGTAATGCTGAGGAGGTGTGGGTTTTTAACAGTTCCTGGCTTTCCCAGGAGGCTTGGGTTTGGATGCCCACAGTGGGAGCTGGTGTGATATCACACCTTCGTGGTCTGCCTTTCCTTCCTGGTCTCACTCTCGGCCCCTACTTCCCACTCTAGAGCTTCCCCGTTTCTGTGTTTTTTTTTTAAAAGAGCTGACCCTGTGCTGTCTCCCACTCTCCCAGTGCCCCTGCCACTCCTGTGAACCAGCTGCTGGCGAGGTTGGCGCTGACCTCTGTGTCTGACCTCAGGCCTCATAACATCAGCCGGCGGCATCTGACCTCCCTCTAGGATACGGGGTTTCTTTGGATGTTTGGACCCCGTACTCACCCCCTTCCTCACCTCCCAGCCACTCTTCTTGTCTCTTGCTGTTTGCTCTCCACTTTAGGACCCAGTGCGTGGCCCTCAGCCCTCTCTCCTCTCATCACTCCTTTAGCGAATTTAGCGACTGGTCCAGTCTCAAGGCTGTGGCTTCCTTCTAAACACTGACAACTCCAAATTCTTTATCTCTACCGCAAACACAGACCACCGAACTCCAAATGTCAGCATCTTTGCTTGAACATCTCAGACTTAACATTTCCAAAACTGAAGTGGTGATGCTCCCTCCCAGCCTGACTCCCCTGAGATGGGAAAGAAGGCAATGGCAGCTCCCTCTTTCCAGCCGCTCCAACAGAAACCTTGCGGTCACCCACCCTCCTCTGCCCCACCAGGATTAGGCTTTCTCAGTTGGCCTCCTTGCCCCCACCCTTGCTTCCCTGAAGCCTCTTCTAACTGTAGGCGAGTTCTGATGCTTTTCTGCTCAGGACCCTTCTCTGGTTCCCCTGTTGCTCAGAATCGACTCTGCTGCGGTCCCCAGGGCCCCCTGTCTAGCCTCTCCTCCTGGGATGCTCTTGCTGCCTGATGTCACACTGCCCACCTTTGAAAGATACTCTTCCTAGACCTCTTGTGTTCCTGCATGACTGGGCCTTCTCAGCAAGGGACACGGACCAGCTTTGCAAGGACGATGGAACAGCAAAGGGAAGACAGAGTGTGCCCAGGACAGAAACCTTCATCCCAGGATGTTTTACCCCAGGGATCTCTGGAGGAGAGAAAAGGCGGGTCCTCCACAGCCCTGAGAAAATCTCCAAGTCTCCCAGTTTCAGGTCCCTCTGCTGGGATACAAGCCCACTGCCTGTCCAGGTGGCACGGTCCACATCCCCCCTTCTTGGGAATAGGGGCATGGGAAACTGACTAAAGATACTGTTCTGGCTGCTGTGTTTACTGTGAGTAATAAACTGTCTATTTCTCTGATTCAGAGGTCTGTTGTTTCCACCTCCCCTCCAGGATGGAGTCTTGCTCTGTCACCCAGTCTGGAGTGCAGTGGCGCCATCTCAGCTCACTGCAATCTCCACCTCCTGTGTTCAAGCGATTCTTTTGCCTTACCTTCCCGAGTAGCTGAGACTACAGGCACACACCACCACGCCCAGATAATTTTTGTGTTTTTTAGTAGAGACGGGGTTTCACCATGTTGGCCAGGCTAGTCTCGAACTCCTGACCTCATGATCCACCTGCCTCTGCCTCCCAAAATGCTGGGATTACAGTGGTGAGCCACCGCGCCCAGTCTCAGTCTGATGTTTTATACACGTGCATGTGACATGCAGCTATGCAGGCCCCCTTGTCAGCGTGCAGGGAGGGGCCAATCTCTGAGCCTTCTTGATTTTTGACTTCACACCCAGTACCCTCCCTCCTGGCCTAGCATGGCAAGCACAGTTTCCACTCAGCCATTTGCCCTGGTTATTCTCTCTAACTTGGATACTTTTCTCCTAGATTCTGCTTGTAATGTATTTGAACATTTACTTCTTAATATTGTTTCCTGCCGGGCGTGGTGGCTCACGCCTGTAATCCCAGCACTTTGGGAGGCCGAGGCGGGTGGATCACGAGGTCAAGAGATCGAGACCATCCTGGTCAACATGGTGAAACCCCGTCTCTACTAAAACTACAAAAAATCAGCTGGGCATGGTGGTGCGTGCCTGTAATCCCAGCTACTCAGGAGGCTGAGGCAGGAGAATTGCCTGAACCTAGGAGGCGGAGGTTGCGGTGAGCCGAGATCGCGCCATTGCACTCCAGCCTGGGAAAACGAGAGCGAAACTCCGTCTCAAAAAAAAAAAAAAAAAAAAAAATTTTGTTTCCTATCCGTCTCTGCTGACCAGAAGATAAGCTGCATGAGGGCAGGAGTTTTTGTTTGGTTTATAGCTACTGTCCTAGCTCCTAAAACAGGGCTGGCGCTTAGGAAGTATACAGGCGGATTCACCTCACAGCATTTACTCCCGGCTTCCTCACTTCTAGTAAAATATGATGCTTGTCTGAAATGTTCTCTTCCCCTTTCCAGACCCGTGTCTTTGATCATGTAAATCATTGCTTCAGGCTGACATAAAAACCATTCTCTTGTTAAGAAAGAGCTCAGCATTGGGAGAGGCAGTCCTCCACCAGTCTCTTGCTCTCCTATAGGTCCTTCCTGGAGGGAGTGGGTTGAATGGTGGCCCCCCCAAAAAGATAGGTCCAAGTCCTAACTCCTAGAACCTGTGAAGCTGACCTTATTTGGAAAAAGGGTCTTTGCAAATGTAATGAAAATAACTGGGCCACGTGTGGTGGCTCACATCTATAATCCCAGCACTTTGGGAGGCCAAGGTGGGTGGATCATCTGAAGTCAGGAGTTTGAGACCAGCCTGGCCAACATGGCAAGACGCCGTCTGTACTAAAAAATACAAAAATTAGCTGGGTACGGTGGCAGGTGCCTGTAATCCCAGCTACTCAGGAGGCTGAGGTAGGAGAACTGCTTGAACCTGGGAGGCAGAGGTTGCAGTGAGCTGAGATTGCACCACTGCACTCCAGCCTGGCCAACAGAGCAAGACTCCGTCTTAAAAAGAAAAAAAGACCACTTGGAGATGAGAGCACCCAGGATTTAGGATGGGCCCTAAACCCAATGACTGACATCTTTATTAGAGAAAGGAGAGGGAGACGCAGAGATGGAGAGAAGAAGGTCACTGGAGATGGAGGCAGACATGGAGGTGAAGCGTCTACAAACCAAGGAATGCCAAAGGTTGCCAGCAAACCTCCAGGGGCCAGGAGCAAGGCGTGGCCAATTCTCCCTCACAGCCCCTGGAGGGAACCACCCTGCTGACACCTCAGGTTCAGGCTGTGGGACCTCAGAACTGTAAGACAATAAACGTCTGCTGTTTTGAACCACACGGTTTATAGTAACTTGCTATGGTAGCCACAGGAAACTCACACACTGGGTATCCGAGAATGCAAGGTCTGGCCGCTCCTGAGCTGGGCCTCCCAGAGCTGAGTTTGCAACAGGACACTGTTGCAGCAGGTGACGTTTCCCTCTGGCTGTGCCCGGAGCTCAGGGCTCCTCTCCCGCAGTGCAGCCCACTGGGTAGGCAGCATCTATCTGGGCTCTCACCAACCCCATGGGGCGTGGGGGTCAGCGGGGCCGTTGCAGGCACCATGCTCGTGGTGCTTTGTTCCTGACCCAGCAGGAGCAGTGAAGGCTCAGCTGTCAGTTTCCAAGTAGGATCGGATCTGATGACTCCTCCTTTTCGCAGGAGTTACTTCTCCTTCCCTTCTGCTTTCGACATCCCCGCCTTGCCCTCTCTCCTTTGCATGGCATTTGTTTGTCTCAGACCATGAAGTCCTGAGAGAAAACCAGGCCCTGTTTGTGTCCAGGTTTGTTTGTGATCCCAGGGGCAGAGCGCTGCTTTACACAATTGATGAAAACTTCGTTTCTGTTTTCTAACTCTCAATTCAGTGCTCTTTTCATGTACTCCCAAGCTTACATGTCCCTGTTACCTTCATAAACAAAACACAGTATTAAAAGTTGCTGCTAGATGTTGGGAAGCTAATATCTGACCTCATGCAGCAGAAGGGAAGGGAGAGGAATTTCCACTTAACATAAGGGATTCCTTGAGTGTCTCTGATATTAACATAGTTGGGGGCTTTATAAAAAACAAAGCGCAGGCTCAAGAGCTCAGGGCTGCTGCTGAGAGTCTAATGGTTTCTCAGCCTCTGATAACCTCACCCTCCTGGCCCCCCTCCCGCCTCCTCTCTTGCCTCCCACCCTCAGCCAGTGCTCCACCAAAGTTCACTGCCTTCCTGGAGTGCTCCTCCCTACCTTCTTCCTCGGCCCAGTCTCCTTCATCCCAGGAGACCCAGCTCACATCTCACCTGCCCTGGGGATGTGGGACTTTCTCTTTCTTCAGAACTTCTGCTCCCCAGAGCACTCGGTGCCCACCTCGTCACATCCCTGCCCCGGGCCTGCAGGATCCAGGGGCTACAGGCAGGTTCTGTGGGTCAGGGAGGGGTCTTGCTCCTCTTTGCCACCTACGTGTTTGGAGCATTCCCTGAACAGAGCAGTGCTCCGCAAATGCCTGTGGATTTTAACTCAGTCAGTGTAATGGCCCAGTTTTGTGCCAGAGAAATGGTCTTGTTGGAAAGAGCCTGCAGAATTCCAGCTGCAGCCTCGGTGAAGGCCATAGAAGAAATCACTAAGCAGCCATGGCTTATCAGTAGGTTCAATAATAGCTAAGTTTAACCCAAACATAAGGTCAATATCTGAATAGTAAGTGGGAATTGTTTTACTTATTGTATGCATGTATCTTTTAGAATATACGAAGTAGTTGAGGAGACATGAATCCTTAAGAAAATATGAGAAAAAGACAAGTGTTTGTGAAGCCGTATCAGCATCTAATCAATGTCAGAAGCTTTGAGAGCTGAGAAGCGGCCAAACATAAAATGCACTTGAGAAGCGATTTCCATCAGATTCCACTGATCTCAAGCAGACCCTGGCCCTGCAGCCTTCCTTTTAAGGAAGACTTCTCTAAGAGGTCTGTCTGCCTGTCTGTCTGTTTTGGGACAGATGACTGATAAGGTCAGCAAGCTGAACGATGTGACCTCTCCAGCAGTTCTAAGCCTTTTTCAGGTACCACAAGTGGGAATTTTTACATTATCTCATTTAACTTGTCTTGGAGAGCAGGACCCCAGGTTTTTAAGTCTTTGGGTTCCCCCATAAGTTTCACGCTGAGTTGTTGATCAATACATTTTTTTTTAACATTTAATAAGAAAAGAAAGAGTTCTAAAGTCAAACTTTCTCTACCTGACCTTCAAACTGGTCAACGAGCCCCCCCAGTTTGGATCAGTAGCTCTGCGGCTACCAGGCAATGTTTCAAACTCACATTGCCATATGTACAGGGGATGCTTTTAAGTAAAGCAGTCAGCAACCAGAATGTCAACAGTTACTTGGAATATTTTGGTGAGAGAGCCGGCTTCTGAAATGCGCCCTATGTAGACACACCATCCCCTGTGTTGACATTTGGAAAACAGGGGAATCTCATGCTCTCCCTGAACCTGGGACAAAAGCGTTTGGTCCCCTCCTTACTGAGGCTAAACAGAGTCCATTCCAACACTACAAAACAGAAATGTGGCCCCAGGTGCTGAGTGAGTGGGAAGGAAGTACTCACTGCATAGGCTGCTGGCAACGATTCGTTCAGAGGCCTTTGTTTGTTCATTTTTTGCATAGACGAACCTGACCCCATAGACACACTCATTTCATCAGCTCACGTGCCCCTCGTGCCAAGCAACAGAATAATGTGCCTAAGAAGTGTTCTCTAAGTGACTGAACTTTCCTGCTTTTCAGGCAGGCTAGTGATGGGTCAAGAGACCCTAAGAGGCACTTGAATTGGGTTGTGGGGGGGGGTGTTGATTACACCTAGAATAATCAGACTTCAAGAAATTTACCATTAACACCAACTATGTGCACAGCTCTCACCATTAGTGTCTGTCTTCCTACACAAGTTTATTGTTAAATTACATTAGTCTTTTTTTTTTTTTCTGGAAAGGCAAGTTAGATGTCAAGGGGATTTTATGTCTGATAGTTGGAGATGCATTACAAAGAAATTTAGACTCCCCCGGGCGTGGTGGCTCACACCTGTGATCCAAGCACTTTGGAGGCCAAGGCGGGCAGATCACCTGAGGTCGGGAGTTCAAGACCAGCCTGACCAACATGATGAAACCCCATCTTAAAAAAAAAAAAAAAACACCCAGTTTCACCTTTCTGCCAACCCAAGAAATCATTCAAACAAGCCAATCACATCCTCCCTTGGAAACTGGGAATCACCACACCCTCTTGTTTGGCCGGGCATGGTGGCTCATGACTGTAATCTCAGCACTTTGGGAGGCCGAGACAGGAGGATCACCTGAGGTCAGGGGTTCAAGACCAGCCTGGCCAACATGGTGAAACCCTGTCTTTA